GTTGCCTTTTTTTTTTTTTTTAATCATCTAGCACCAAGTCACCAGGTGAGCAACTTATTGGTAGGTAGGGTCAAACTAGCTTGGGAATGTTATGCCAAAATGTCAAACAGTTAGTTAGCTTTTATTTGACATTAGGTCATATTGGACCCCTTATAAGTTAACAGTAGGGCTGAAATAGAACATGATAGAGCTCAAGCAGGTTTATACCATTGTCAGTGGCTATGCTGACTGGGCTGAGGGAATGAAAAACCAAAGATACTACTAATGTAAGGTGGGACTCGCGGGTTCACTGATATTCTGTTGTCCAAAGGCCTACAAAGCCTGAAGTTGGCCCTGCCCAGACAACAGAATGTCTCACTTTTTATGGAAAAAGTAAAGAATAGCACAATTGTCACAATGGTTGATGTCTTTAATGTTTTTAAAAGGTAAGAGTTTGACATGGGTAGTAATTTATTGGGAAAGTAAGACTTGTCAAAGCTCAATACTGTACATATTTTTCAGAAATCTTAGGGATAAAACAGGAGGAAGAGGCAGCCTATTATTTACAGAAAAAGGTCCTTTGTTTCAAAAGTCTCTTTTTCAGTTCCACCAGTGGTTGATTCAACTGACAGTGAGAGAGAGTTAAGCTCTTTTGTTTGTCTTTAAAAACAGTGACTATTAGAAGGGAGGACTATGGAATAAAACTTGTGTTTAGGTTAAAATGTGTATTTTGTTCAAAAGTAGCTCTTGCCATAAATGCTAAAACAATGTAAATTTTAAATAATAAAAGGTGCATATAGTTATCAATTCGTAACTACAATTTCATAAAATGTAAGAATCCACTCATTCAGGAAATAGCAGATTAAGAACGATTTAGGTAAAACAATCAGTTTGATCCAGATGCTGTCAGATCTACTGAAATTCACTGGCCTGTTTGAATGACAGTTGGTACATAATCCAATAAGAGCACTTATGTTCTAACAGAACAACAGTGGCAATTGCCACATCAAAATGGTAGGCAAGGTGGGTGACTGAAGTGTGTTCCCTTTTTTACATGCATCACACACATGTAAAAAGGGGCAGGGCTTTGATCACCTGGTCACACCTGCCTCTTTGTTGTCTTTGACCTCCCCCCACAAATGTATTTCCCTGATAATAGCTGTGCTCTCTGGGAATGGTTGAAGTTCTGATACAACACCTCCAGATGGCAAGAGTTTATAGAAGGGTTGCTATATATTAATTTCCTCAACATTTTTAAAATGTAAGTACTGGTCCTTTTAGATTACCCAATAATAGGTAACGTGGTCTTCTTAATCTTTCTTTTTATCACTTCAGTGACACAATCATCCACTAATTGCTTCACATTGTATTTACAGAACTTTCTACTAAGGCTTTGGTTCAAAACTGATGGTTAAAACCTAGCTTTCTGTGGCTGCAGGTCTCAGTATACTTTGAAAATAAGGCCCACTGAAAAAGTAAACAAAGGATTTATTTGCAAAGAACAAGTTTTAATTCTTGCCTTTGGTAATGATTTTACTATGTGTTTTATATAATCTCTCTCCCTCTCTCAGATCATCTAATGAGACACTAAGTATTGTACTCCTCTGGATCTGCACTACAAAGGTGCAGAGCAGCTCAGGTCCCTTGAAGTCTGCTTCAGATCAAGGTCCTGAGAACTTCTGGACATGTATATTCATTAATGTATGATCTACATACTCAGAAGATACTTCTACCAGGCTAGCCATTTACCATGCATATGCCTAGACTTTGGTGTTTGAGTAGTTGCCCTAATATATTTATTCTCTCAAAGTTGCTGGTTATGTTTGCATATCAGGCTTACTTACGTTTACTTATGATTTTCTCAATTAATCAAATATTTTGAGTTCACTCAGAATACCTGATCATAGAGATAAGATTTGTATGTCATGCTACTCTACATTGTAGTTGGCTAGTTTGTAGTTCAGTATTTGTCTAATTAATTGTTAATTGTTTTACAATTAAGCAACCCTGTGAACTTAAAATAAAAACAAAGTTATGACTTCAGATATCTCTTGCTTTTTTCCAATGCTGTAGGTAATTTCTAAAAAGTCTCTGAGTTCAAATGTCCCTCAAAAATTAGTCTATGTTCCCAAGTTACTTTGTTAAGTATAATTCTATCCAGAGTGTAAAAAAAATTAATGTGGTGTCTGTATGTAGTGTGTATGTGTGCATGTTGGGGATAGGGGCATATGTATGCATATATATAATTTTTATTAAATGTCAGTAGTCGGATCTCAAACGTTAAGTTCTGAAGTTCTTCTGGAAATGCTGATTTTTCTTTATAAGAAAATAACTTTAAACATTTATAAATTGTTGTTTCCATGGAAATAGCTTCCATTTAAATCAGTGTATCATTCTTATATCTCCGTTCTTCCTGATTGTTGGACAGGAAGGAATCTAAAGGTCATTTGGTCCAATATTTCCATATGGGATGAATTTCATTTTCCACACTGGTTGGCGATACTAGCAGTTGAAGTCCAATTCATCTGGAAGGCATCAGGTTGGAGAAAGCTATTTAGCCCATTTAGTTTGGAAATACCATCTAGAATACCTGGAAAATGACTGGGTTTAGTACTATGTAGTAATTATAAATTGTTGCTGATTCAAACAGTCCTCTGTTAACATTATGATCTATCAGTGTTTTCTCAAGTGACACTACAGATGTGTATTTGCTAGGGAATAAATCTGATTGTAGTCAGTGGATCTTATTTCAGAGTCCCTGCGCTTAAGATGTCGCTATGATGATATCTTTTATAGCTTAAATGTTGTTTCACAGTAAACATTGAAAACACTTACTGGAATATTTGGGTATTGTGTGAATGTAGTTAATGAGGATTTGGAAACAGTTAAGAAATAACATGTATATAAGAGCCAATGTAGGTATTTGGGCTTATAGAGGTTTAAGCAGCAACTGGTTTAAATTCTGGATGGGAAAACACCCTACTATAAAAGGCAGTAAAAACCATTGTTACGTATGAATGTTGTTAAGAGAGGATGGGCTCAGCAGATAAACAGCACATACATTTTCACCCATGTAGGTACTGTGTTACATTAACAATACTTCGTCATTTACAGGTCGATTTAAGCATCACATGGGAAGATGTCCTTACTTACCAAAGCTGTTAATGGAGAAGAAAGCAGATGAGAACCAATTTTAAATGGAAAGGATTATAGCACCCACTTCGTTTTTTCTTGCGAAAAGAGCCTTAGTTCTAGATAGAATATGACCACATTGAACTTGAAGCATAGAAAGCAGCTGGACCCTAGGTAGAGACCCATCCCCTTCACCCTGCTTCTAGCCAAACTTTATCCATTGGTCCGTGTTGGGGAGGGCAATTCATCCCTGAGCAGCTGTGCTTTCCAGCTGTGGACTCCATTTCCCAAGCTTCCTCCCTGCCCTAATGTATTCCGTTCTCAGGCCGGCTCTGTGTCTATGTGTGCGTGCGTGTGTGTTTGCGAGCGAGCGAGCGCGCGCGTGTGTGTGAACAGCTAGGAATCCCTGAGAGAGTGGAGGCTCATTCACTGATTAGAGGCGGCTTCGAGCGGCAGCGCTGCGCCTTCCCTGGCTCCCAGCAGCCGTGTCAGGCTCTCGCTCACTCCCATGCTGGCCGAAAGCGCTTGCACACACGCGCCGGGGTTAGTACGTCCAGCCTTCCTGCCCACGCACCTCTCAGATTCTTGCCTTCCCCAGCCTGAAATCAAAGAGGGACGCCGCCTTCCGAGAAATTTGCACGGTAAGTATCTGGAAATTGCGGGGAGGGGGGAAGCTGATAGAAAGTCCAGGAGCGCTGCATATGTCGAGGGGGGAGGAGGTTTACATACATGCGTGTGTCTAACTTTTCAGCGGTTGATCGCTGGGGCTCCGACTCAATTCTCTACCCTGGTACTTAAAGAATTCCCCAAATGCAGGCAGTAATGTTTCGAAAAGTAAAACTTTGCAAGTCAAGTTTGTGTCTCTATTTCGCTCCACGCCCCATTCTCCAGAACAAAGTTTTAAGGCAAGCAGTTGCTTATCGGAACTTGGGGTGGAAATGCTGGAAGGGGTATGTGTGTTTGAATGTGTGTGGGGAGTGGAATCTTAATGAGTATGCATTTAAAAATCAAATCAATGGGGTGCCCCCTCCCCTCTGAAGGCTAGCCCTGATCCCAGGACTCTCCTCCTTCTTTTCCTGCT